GTGTTGCATGACTGTGCCCACCATCAGTTATGGAGTAACATGACACGCCAGGTCCCAAACGCATTCATGTGCCAACAGAGGGAGCGAGGGAGGGAGGGTGTGTGTGTGTAAAAAAACAATTCCCCTCCTTTAGAGTGCTGGGTTCAACCCAGGTTTCAATCCGCTCCTGTGTCCAGCACATGACTGCTGGCACTGCCTTGATGCGGCCAAATCCTGACTTCACTTGTACTGGTGGAACCAAGAGCAAAATTTAGCTCATATAAATTAAAGACCAATTATGTCCCAACTACTCTCTTCCCCTTCTACCAATGCTAGATTATGCCCTACAGTATATTCTCCAGTCCAAACAATGGGGCTTTGACCACTTCCCTTGCAGGACCTCACAGGGATTAATTTTTTTACTAATATTCAACCTAAATTTGCCTTTTTCCCCATTTCAGCCCATTACTTCTAGGTATAGTCCTCTGGGCCCCACTGAGCAGTCCCGTAAAAGAACCATGTCAGTAATACCTGCGTGGCTCTCGCTCTGCGTGCCTACAGGAGATGCTGAGGATACACTCGTGTTACAACAATCAAGCCAAAGTCAAATACACCATAAAAGACACAAATGGATCAAACCCTACCCTGAATCTGTCCCATGGGGGTTTTGCCACTGACTTCAATAGGAGCACGTTTGGGCCACGTGGTTTGGCATAATAGAAATATTGCGTTTTCCTCCCCCTTATTCGTTACACTTCTTTGACAAAGTCATTTAAAATTTTTCGATCAAAACTGAAATGATACAGGGCGACGCCGGTTCCAGACATGCCGTGTCTCCGGGCTGCCAACACAACGGCAGGGCTTGCCATCAGACACAGCGCACATGCCTGTGGGTGTCCGTTATTAAGCAATTTGCTATCCTCTTTCATGGCTCGCCTGGCAGAGACGGAGTGCCGTTGTCCTGCCACGGATGCCCAGGGCTTCCCACCCCTCCATACTATTTATCCCTGCCTGTTTACCTCTTTCTGCCCCCCGAGCTGAAGCCGTGTGAGTCCTGAGGCGGTCAGATGGGCCAGAATACCAGCATACGGTGGTTAAAATCACGGCTTTGCCTCTTGTATGTCAAAAGCCACCTCCCCCACACCCAGCTTTCATGAAGCATCGAGGGGTCGTTAGATCCCCATCGCCTTAATTCTTTGCTAGCTGGGAAAGGGAAATCCCACTGTGGTTTCAGGCAGACACTGATTCAATACTGTATCTACCCAGCTTCCCAAAGCTCTGGCACGGGGGGGATCCAGTAATAATACCGGATCACGCATTGACAGGCAACCGTGCCTCCCACAGAGCAGTGCCAGCACAATGGGGCAAGGCTCGTATTCCCTAGAGTCCTGCAGCCACACCGATCATGAATGGAAACTCCCCTGGGAGCCCCAGGACCTCTCTGCAGAGGCATGGTGTTTTCAGTGGGTGGTGCCTGAGGTCCCATGGCAGCTTCCTGAACGGGCCAAATCTAATCTTACCTAGAATACCACGAGCAAGCGTATGAAGCAGTGCAATTTAGTGGCCTGAACGTGGGATTCAAGGCCCCGAGTTCTAATCCCAGTGCTGAGCAATTAGTTGCTGTATGACCTTTGGCCTCTTCAGAAACACTTCCCTCCCCAGGAATAGTTATTTCCCCGTCCCGTCATTTCCCCCTCCATCAAATGAGGAGAACGACATTCACTCCCTGTCCCCCACAGGCTGCTAGTGACGGGCCGTAAAAGCGCTTTGAAGCCGCCGTCAAGTGGGAAGTGTTGTATGAAGAAGTGATGCAGAAACCACCTGCAGCCTCAGTGGTGATCCCGAGGAGAGGACGGCAGAGCAACGTGATTAGAGGCGCTCGCAATACGACCAGGAGCCTCCGTTGGGGCGGCCTGACAGCTGACGGGCATTCACCACAGGACTCGTTGCGCCAGGCCGGGCAAACAGCACACCCCACTGTCCCGTGAGCACGCGGCTCCCTTCCCCAGCAGTTCATTCCCTGCCCCACCCGGGCCATGCTCTTTTCAGCACACAATGGGTTTCAGTGCTGGGGGGGGGGAAATCAGAGCTGCTGTTTCCCAAACAATGGGAGATGGGAAAGAGGTTTCACTTTCAAGGAGGCCGAGCAGGGAGCCTGGGAAGTCACTCGCTGTGCTTTGCTGCAGGCTCATTCGCTTTGCTCACATGTCGGAGCTGTCGTCCCAAGTATTTATCGACTCTCCTGCTGCACCCAGCAAGAGGCCCCAACCTTCAATCTCTCCAGGCTGGGTTGTTTTGGTTCCACGCTCTCTCGAGCCGTTTCCCTTCATAAACAAGGAGCGGGACCTAATTTGTGCTGCTTTGCTCACCTCTGACCACGCCCCCATCAGGGTCACCGATAGACCCAGCGCTGAGAAACGACTTTGGGCAGGGGGGGGTCCCGCGGTGCTCATTCTTCAAAGGGCCACCCGGAGAGGGGGCAAGAGGGAGAGAAACAACATTTAACTGGAGCCGTTACACACGTCACTCCATCCTCAAGGTCAGTTCTCTCGGCTTCTGGAGACCGTAGCAATCTGCCTCAAGCCACAAGTACATACCCGCAGCCACAGGCATCAGCAGGCAACCCAGGGAACAGAATTCGTGACCTCAGGCTGATTCACACACCCCTTCCTGCTGCCTGACCCGTTAACGGGAACCCCAAATACCGGAGCAGCCCTGACATGCTCCATCCAGTAGAGGGCAGTGAGGCACACACCACACCGCCAGGCACGTGGCATGGACTTTTGGAAACTGGAGCCCTAATCTAGCAAAGCCACCTGTACGGTCTGACGGCAAAGCCATCTCACTGGGCTTCGCGCACCATCGAGCTGTTCAGTTTTGCTTCTATTCCGGGCCCCCTCTATTACTGTGCTTGGCCCGGGAGAACAGAAACCAAGTCTAGAGGAGGCCAAACTAGAACTGCTTGGAATCATTTCTTGGACACTCTTCGCAACTTTTAAAAATAAATTCTTTGACAAGTTTCTCCGCCCCCACCTCTTTCTCTGCTCAGGTCTCAGGAGAACACTCACTCTTTGAACCGATTGGTAGATTCCAAGGCTGGAATCATCTAGTCTGACCTCCTGGATAACACAGGCCAGATGAACACAGTAAAAAAAAAAAATTGCATATGCCACGGTGGGCTAGAGAAGCTTATGCTATGCTGTGACCTAACACAGCACCTTAGACTGCCTGGCTACCCTGACCCTCTGCGTCTCACAGACCCGCCCCTCCTCAGCAACCAGCTCAGGATCTTAGGGATAATGCTGCTGACCTCCTTTGGAAAGCGCTTGGAGATCTATGGATGAAAAGTGCTACATAAGAGCTAGAGATTACTGTTATCCGGGCCTTCAAATCATTTCAAAGTAAAACCACGTTGCCTCTGGTCTCCCAAGGAAAAGAAAGGCGAGTCCCATAACAGAGCCGAGGCAGCTCATAAAGCCTCCAAGAGAGTCTACAGGCCTCGATATCAAAGGATGCAAGGCGGGTCACCGTGTCTTTATAGTGGGAGCAGGGAAAGCATGTTACCCCTGCAAAGGAGACAGGAGAATCTGAGCTGCCGCTTCCCTCTCTCCCTAGAGGGAACAGCCCCACAAGTCTCTTGCTCCAACAAATTCAGACACGTTCACTTGTTTTTACTAATTTTCAAAAAAAAAAAAAAATTCCGCAGACTTGAGGGCTGATCAGAAGGGCCCTGGAAAGCGAAACCTGCTGCTCAGCCACAAGACAAGATTTGCACACCCGGTGCCCCAGCGAACCCTGGAGAGACCACACCTAAAATCGGAGCGTTCGAGCTCCGTGATCCATTCCGATCTTGGCCTGTCTGCTGCCAAGGGGAACAGGACAAAGACCCACCAAACAGTCATCAGACGGTTCTGACCTTCAGTCACTAACAAACAGGGGGTGGTTTCATCGTGCAGTGCCTGAGCGGAGTTGTGAGAAGGGGTTTCCCGGCTGCGGCAGGGATGTTTGCAATTAGAAGTCCTGGGGGAATTACAGCCCATGGATGGGTCATAAAACAATCAGCTCAGTGACACGCAACAACCCTGTGCTGCTTCTGCCAACATTCAGAGTGAGCAGCCTGGACATGAATCCCTCTTGCCACTCATGGAGCGCAAGCCCGTACCGCCGCCACGAAACCCCGCAGCCCTGGAAACCACCTCGAGTTCTTAATAAAAGAAACTTTGCCGAAGATCTAACGAGGCAAGAACCATGCAGCTTCTAAAGTGGCTAATTCCCTCCCTGTTTAAACAGAATCACAATAGCCCCCCTGGTTCCCTCCCCTCCCCCCGCATGGAAATACAAGGAGAGGGACAAACTCATCATAAGCCTCACGGCTTCATTACATGCCCAGGGTCCCTACATTTTCCCCGGTGGTCTGCAGGGTAGAGGAGGTAGCAGAGAAGTTGGGATAAAGGGCAAAGCACAGCAGAGGGCCATGGTTCTGTGGGTAATCAACCCTCCAAACGCAGCTAACCCTATAGCTCCCTGCTCCCTTCCGCCCTCCCCAAACAGCATGGCTGGGCCAGTTACCGCACTGCCAGCTCCTGCCTATGCTCCTCCACGACCCCTGGGACCAGAGTACCCAGCAGGAGGTAACGTAGCTTCAAGCAGCAATAGTTTCCCCCAGGTTTTAGGGGAGATCGCCCACTGTCCGGAGAAAGGAGACAACACACATTTTTTCCAAATGGCTGATGAAGCACACAGAATTTCTGCAGACGGGAAAGCGGCTGCCCTGGGTGCAAGGGGTCTCCCAGGCAGCCACTTCCCCTGGCACATGGGCCCAGCACAGCAGGGTTTTGTTATTTCCCTGCTAAGCATAACTCGATGCACATCAGGCGGTAGCTGGGCAGAGGCCCGGGTAACACAAGGCTGCAAGAAAACAGCAGGGGACTTCACTCGGTAGCCATCTGCAGAAGCACCAGTTGGACCAGAGCCATCCCACTAGAGCGCCCTCCCCCGGCTATTTATCCCTGTCCATTTACCTTCTTCCCGCTCTCCGAGGTGAAGCTGTGCGACGAGTGACTCCGGAGGCTCCCGCCGCTCAGCTCCAGCTGCGGTTTCCAAACGTCTCCGTTGTCGCTGCCGGGCGATTTGGCTGGCGACGCGTTGGAGTTCACCGGGATCCCGGCGTGCACCATCTCCTCGGTGCACGTCAGCCGCAGGCCGCACAGGTACTCGTCTGTCTCCTTATCCACCACCAGCAGGCGGGTCTCAGACTCCACCGCTTTGATGCGCTGCACCACCTGGAAGGGAACAGAAAGGGGGAGAGAGATTTAGCCAGGCAACTGCAAACCAAACGACATGATCCACAACCCCCAGGCCACTCTCCCCGAAGCAGCTGCTCTGCAAGGCCGGGTCTCAGCACTCTTATAACGAGAATCTTTCCTAGGAACTGATATTATATATATATATATATATATATATATATACACACACACACACCCCTCTCTCTCTCATATTCCCCAGGGTGCTGAAATATTTGATTGTCTCCCCCCACACACACATATATTTATGAAAGCAATGATCTGATTCTGTGCCTTCATCCTGGCTTTGTGCTACCAGACAACAGAGCTGAGGAAAGCAAATGCCAGCTAAAGGGGCTGAGAATAGGATCTGGGGTCCGTCACCCCTAAATCCCTGCTCAGAATCCAGCTCAGGTCAGTAGGGAATGAATTGCTGTCAGGAGACGGTTTGGGGGGCGGGGTTTAGCTGGGTTTTGTTCTTTAAACTGAGGGACATGGTGAAAGGAGCTGGTGGTATCCAGCCAAGCTAGTGAGAGGAAGGACAGGCTAGAGGTGGGACTGGGATGCTTGGGACCTAGTTTCTACTCCTGGCTCTGCCACAGCCTCCCCGTATGACCTTGGGTGAGTCTCTCTGTGCCTCAGCTCTGCCACCTGTACAATGGGAATAACAGCTCTGCCCTCCTCACGGGGGAAGGATAAATACATTGATGCTTGTGAAGTGCTCGAATACTATGGTGACAGGGCCAGATAAGTTCATGGATAGGAGCAGACAAGACTCCACCCAACAAAGCCATCCAAACAGCTATCAGCTGGTCCCTTTGTGGGTGATCTCAGAGGACGGACTCTTATGGACTGAACATCACTTGACCTTCTACCGGGGTCTCCTGTTTAGGGCAGAAGGGGCAAGGATATTGCTGGGAAACTTGCCCTCCAGCTGGAGCGAAGCAGTCCAGGCTCTGGATGCTTATAACTCCCAGATCTGTTTCAACAGTATGACCACCTAGCCAGTTGGTCCCCATTTTGTGGTTGTGCATTTGATTTGTCCTTCCTAACTGAAGTAATGTGCCCTTATCTTTATTGAATTTCATCTTGTTGAATTCAGACAAGTTCCCCAATTTGTCAAGGTCATTTTGAGTTCTAATCCCGTCCTCCCGAGGGCTTGCAACCCCTCCCAGCTTGGTGTCATCTGCACATTTTATAAGCACTCTCTCCACTCCATTATTCAAGTCATTAATGAAAATATTGACTACTACCGGACCAAGGACTGACCCCTGCGAGACCCCACTAGTTACGCTCTCCCACACTTCCCTAGTTTGTTTATGAGAACGTTATGTGGGACTGTGTCAAAAGCATTGCTAACAATCAAGATCTATCATGTATACTTCCTCCCTCCTATCCACCAGGCCAGTAATCCTGGTCTGGCATTTTGTTCTTGACAAATCCATGCTGGCTATTCCATAGAATCCCATTATCCTCTAGGGGCTTCCAAATTGATTTTTTTAAATAATTTGTTCCAGTTTCTTTCCAGGTTTCGAAGTTAAGATGACTGGTCTATAATTCCCTGGGTCCTCCTTGTTCCCCCTTTTAAAGATAGGTTACTATGTTTGCCTGTCTCCACTCCTCTGGGACCTCATCCGTGTTCCATGATTTGTCAAAGATAATTACTAATGGTTCTGAGATTGCTTCAGCTAGTTCTTTAAGTACCCTAACATGAATTCCATCAGGTCCTGTGCCGACTTGAATACATCTAACTTATCTAAATATTCTTTAACCCGTTCTTTCCCTATTTCGGCTTGCATTCCTTCCCCTTTGTTGTTAACGTTAATTGCCTTGCGTATCTGGTCACCATTAGCCTTGTTAGTGAAGACTGAAACAAAACAGGCATTAAACACCTCAACCTTCTTGATGTCATCAGTTATTAGCTCTCTTTCCCAACTAAGTAGAGGTCCTCCACTTTCCTTTGTCTTTCTCTTGCTCTAATGTATATAAAGAGCTTCTTCTTATTGCCTTTTATGTCCCTTGATAGGTGTTTCTGATTTTGTCCCTACATGCTTGTGTTGTTCTTGTGTACCCCTCCTTAGCAAGTTGTCCACGTTTCCACTTTTTGTAGGATTGCTTTCTGAGTTCCAGGTCATTAAAGAGATCCTGATGAAGCCATATTGGCCTCTTCCTATACTTCCTTCACATCAGGATAGTTTGCAGTTGTGCCTTTAATAGACTCTCCCTGAGAAACTGCCGGCTCTCCTGAACTCCTTCTTCCCCTTCGGGTTTCTTCCCAGGGAACATTACCGACCAGTTCATTAAAGTCTGCTTTCTTGAACTCTACTGTCCTTATTCTGCTGCTCTTCCTTCCCTTAGAATCAGGACATGTATCATTTCATGATCATTTTCACCCAAATTGCCTTCCACCTTCAGATTCGCTACCAATTAATGTTTAACCGGGCTATGCCCTGCAGCTTCAGTTGTTCTGATCGGGGTACAGGACATGTTACAATCCCCAAGGTTACAAGTGACAAACAACCCCACTGCTCAATTACCTAGCCTACCCCAGGCCAGGTCCCAGAACCTGCATCCACAAACGGAAAACAGCCCGAGGAGAAATGTATAGACTGCGGACACAGCTGCTTGTCCCTGCACCAGCGACTCCACTGCGCAGCAAAAAATCATGTCACTCTCTGCATTGGCTCGTATCTGGAGGCAGCACGGCGAGGAGGAGCTACCCAATTAATCCCCAGAAAATCCCTGCTGCTCCCTTTCAGATCTGCTTAGACACTTCATCAGACTCAGCTGCTCAGAGAAACCGGAGAGGCAGGGACGGTGCACGTGAGCTTGTCCAGAGATAGAATTAGGGCCAGAGAGACGGCCCTGCCGTGGCAGGCAAAGCATGGGGACGTGCCACTCCAGCTGATCTGCTGGCTGGTGTGGAATTAGGGGGCAGGGTCTGGCCAGCCCCCATCCAATCCTGGTTGGGAAGTTGGCATTATCACTGTTATCAGCAGGGTTCTTGCTGCCCTGCACGGTCCGTGCAGTTTATCTTAAAGCTTCAGCTCCCGGAGGTAACGGATACCATGAGAAGATCAGCTTTCATTCACAAAGTTTCAGCCCTTCTGGCTGCAGAGAAAAGACAAGGAAGCATTGGCCAAGTGCACCCAAAAGGTTCAGAAAGCAGAAGGCAAATTAAGAAGAACATAGGGTGAGCAGACAGCAAGTGTGAAAAATCGGGACAGGGAGTGGGGGGTAATAGGAGCCTATATAAGAAAAAGACCCCAAAATCGGGACTTTCCCTATAAAATTGAGACATCTGGTCACCCTAGAAGAACACAAAGTTCTTTTTTTTTTTTTTTCAAATCTCATCATTTTTTAGACCGGACTTGTGATTTTTTTTAAACACTCAGCACTACTTTTTGCATGGGAGTTGAGGGGAATGTAGACAGAGCACTTGGGGGCAAAATCAGTCTTCTGCTCCGTGTTTGTACCACACCCAGTCCAATGGGATCCTGCATAGGGCCTCTGGGCACTATTGTAACACAATTAATAGCCAGCAGAGGGAAGGGGAGCTCTGGTCACCTTGACATTTTTATCATTTTCAAAGGCTCGTGCGGAGTTCCTCGCTTCACACCTCTCCTCAAAGGGCACTGCAGGGTTCCCTAGTCTGCTCTCGACCTGCCAGAACCAACAGGGAAGCACCTTAATAACTACGGGGGTGGCAGAACTCTGTCACCACAGCCAAGCTCAAAGGAGATATTGTCCTGTCCAAAAAATCCACTGTATTGTAAGTGCTTCTGTGCTGCCCAATGCACCGGCTGCAGGGTCCGAGTGTGACAGGTGCTCCATAGAGGCACAAATCAAACAGAACAGCAGATGGCCGAAAGGTACCGTGCTCCACTGCAGCACAGAGGCAGAGCCCAGCAATTAAGGAGTTAACGCTCTAATGGGGCGAGATGGCTGTTCTGAATGGTCAGATTGCATCACACCTTGCAGCTTTTTTCATAGGGAGTTCAGTGTTGGTGAGAGGTGCGAGCCCTCTGCTTAGCCAGAGAACGGGTCCCCCACGAGCAGCATTCGGGTATGCTTCCCTCACACCCCTCCCCCAGCAGTGTCTCTCGACCGCGAGCTGGTGGGCCACACACAAGTAAACATCCTCTACGGCCCACTCGCTCCTGGGTCACTGCCAAGACCGACAGCAAGAGACCCAAATGGTGCTCATTGTGACTGGGGTTTCTGCAGGCATTCAGTGATGGGACTGAGGCCTGGTCTTCTCTAGAAAGATATGGTGAAGATACGTGGAGAAAACCACACCCCTGACTGACATCCCTATGCAGACATAACCCACAGCGTAGATGCAGCTATGTCAACAGAAGAGGTTTCTACTGATGTAGCTAATGTCATTCAGGGAGGTGGGGTTCCTATACCGACAGAAAAAAACCCCATCTGTCAGTGTAGGCTGCGTCTATGCTACAGTCTCCATAATGTAGACATGCCCTGAGACCACAGCTCAGTGAGTGTCACTAAACCACCATTACCTGGGCAGTCACTTCCACTCACTCCCAATCTGGACTAGACGGGAACCAAAGACCTTGTGGTGAAAGGTTCCACGTGACATTCAAAACCTCAATAGCCACTCTGTCCCACCGGGCCTTTCACCTTGGAAATCTGAGCCCCACCAGACAACCACTTCCAAAAGAAAGCTATACACTGGTCTAGCAGACAACAGGGGACTACAATCCAAGTGCTCTGGTTTCTAATCTAGGCTCTGACACTGACTGTCTAGAGGGACTTGGGCAAAGCACTGCACTCCCGTTCCCTTATCTGTAAAACTAGGGTTATAATAGTTACCTACCTCACATGAGTGTGGTCAAGAGCAACAGATTACAGATGTTAGAGGTGTAAGTGACCTATTAGTTCTGCTAGTGTCTCTCCCCGAGACCTAGTTGGGATTGTTCCCCATAACACAGTTTCTAGAACTTTGCCCAGTCTAGATTTACACATCTCAAGCAACAGGGCTCTCACCCCTTCCTCAGGGAGAGGATTCAACCACCTCACAGACCTCACGTCTGCCTCAGAATCAATATAATTAGAGAGCCCATGAAAATTCAAGAAAACGAACATCTTCTCACTTCTGCTCATCATTACATGCCCAGCCAAACAGCTGTTCCTGGTGTCAAGGACAACATTCACAGGTAGCCACCCCTATTACCCACCCCCCAAGAACGATGGGCTAGCAGCGTGAGGATTGAAAGCAATCGCTCCATGTCTGCAGTCTATGCACGTGCCTTCTAGAAGGCCTAACAAACAGACTGGCCTTATGCATCTGTGTAATTATGCAACCTTCATTAACATCTTGAAGTGCCACTGCAATGAACAGAAAGGCTGGAAAGGCTCACAAGGAGGGGTAGTGATGCAGGCTCACCAGGGCTCCAATGGTAATGTTTGCCACGGCGACCTCCCCCACACTTAACCCTCGTTGCAGAAGGGCAGCTTGAAACTGGCTCTGTTAAAATGACATTGCACCGTGCCAGCATGTCTCTTTTTCAATGATTCCTCAGTTTACAACTCAAAAGAGTCTATTCCAGCTGACACCACTGCAACCTCAACCTGGGATCTAAACACCGAGGAAGGGGGAGTCAATAGGCGGATGACGGGCCAAATCTGGACTGCCGGACGCTTTTGAACCGACCGCAAAATCTGTTCATTTATTTACTTATTATTATTATCGTTATTGTGGTGTGAAAAATGTTTCTCTGGCGTCTGGATCTTGACCAAGAAATCTGGACCTTGACAAAAAATAATTGAGTACCTCTGATCTAGGAGGTTCCTCTCTCTGCCCATATTAGCATGGGCGGTGTTAGCTAAGAGGGGCGGGGGCAATAGGACACGTAGGGTTAACCAATTATCAGGTGTTACAACTACAACTTGCCTTGTCTACACTAGGATTTTAACCTGTGTTAGTCAACACAGTAGGGCGAGCACATGTTAAATTGCCCGTCCCACAAACACTGGGAAGCAGGCTGCAATTTTGCAATGAAGACAGGAGCAAAGCACCTTGAATCTACTTCCTCTGTTTGCTCTTTCTGCTTGCTTTAATCTACAGTTAGAAAAACAATGAAGGAACAAATAAATACAATCAAATGTCATCAGCTTCTGCTTCCTGAGCTTGCAACAAAATTATAAACAAACAGGGGAACCCTCCTCTGCAAAAGGCTCTTTGCTACTGGCGGTTTCAGATGTAGGCGTAAACCTGTTATTAGCTCCAAGGCTGATGTCCCTAAGAGAACAGGAAAAGCCAAGCAGGATCAGACCAACCGTTCACCGAGTCCAATATCCTGTCATCAACAGAAGCCAATGTCCGACACATATGGTGTAACGTTCCCACAATGTACATACTTTGTCAGCACTTTGTCATGGAGGAAGTTTTCTCCTGATCACCAGAAAATTACCAGCTTATTGTTTTGAAGTATGAGGATTGGCAGCCCAGCCCTTTGTAACGTCATCCCAGCTAATGTGACTGCAGATGCTAACTCGGTTCATATAAATGTTGAATCGTTCTTGGAACATACTAAGCTATCTGCGTTAGTAATACCCTGTAGCAGTGAGTTCCAGAGGTTAATTATGCCTTGCTTAGAAGAAAACATGGAGAGGATGAAATGTCTCTAGTTTCACTTGACCTACCCAACCGAAAAGCCCACACATTTCATACGTGAAATTGATGCCTCAGCAATGTTGAATCAGCCTTCACCATCACATCAGATTTTAGCATACAAAGTCTTGACAATTTTCTGGCGTGAAACACCGCTCTGTATGTAATAAGAACACCCTCATCCACCCAGCAATTAGAACAGAGCAATAGATGTACCCTGACTCCATTCCAAATATAACTGGAGGGGCAAGTGTTAACTTCTGCAGAGGGTGCTCAGGTCCACAGCACTGGCTTAATTAACGACTAAACAATAAAAGCCATGTCCTGGCTGGGTGTCAGTTACATAGCACTTTAATGGCGTTACCACTGCTTGCACCACTACTGGGGATGGCTCTGTATCTCTCAGCAAATCAGTCAGTCATTCCATATCTTTAGGACTCACTGTCGGCAACTAAAAACTGAGACCCGCTACTTCCAAAGCGCTGTTGGTTCCATGAAGCATGCAGACGACAGATCACCATGCTGCCCGTAGAAATTATTACAGGAGGCGCCTGCCAGATGCTCTAAGCTACTAAAATATTCAACCCTGCAGTGCCCTGAAAACTAGACAGATAGACAAAAGAACTGCCCAAATGGGACTCGAAAGCACCAGGCTCTTGAAAAGCAAAGGGATCTCCAATTCAAGCTAGAAGCTGCTAGTTTCTGGCCATTATTTTTCCAGAGTAAATTGTAGTGAATGCAAGTAGAAATTATGTGATAATAATAATTATTGTGAGCATCTGCATAGCCTTTGCATCAGTAGATGCTGAGGCACTTTACACAGGTCAGTAAGCATTACTGACTGCATAGGGAGTAAGAGAAGCGCAGCAAGGAGAAGTGGCTTGCCCATGGTCAAAAAGTGAGTCAGTGGCAGAGTCAGAAATAGACCCCAGGTCACCCGATTCCCAGTACCATGCTCAGAATCACAGAATCGTAGGACTGGAAGGGACCTTGAGAGGTCAGTGTCTGACTATGTCACAGCAATGCCCTGACCATGTCATAACACCCTTTGCTCTTTCCGACCTTGCCTGGTCTTGGCAGGGACATAACATGATTATTGCGCAGTTAGATGTCGTCCATACAGACAAGACCAACCATGCTAGAACACACTGACCTCGTTGAAACTTACTAGGGTACACTGGGTGCTCCAACATGATAAGATAATGTTGCTGTGTAGAGCAGGCCTAGAACTGTGTGGGAACCTATTTTACTGTAATATCTACTGCTGGTCATTTGGCAAAGGGAAGCTTTTAAACAAACATTCAGAGGGAGGATCACCCTCCTAGCTTCTCCGCCCGCCCCCCAACTTTAGCACATTCCTGAAGACACCTTCCAAGGAGCCGGGGGAGCAGGGTAAAGTAAGGAGGTTTCAGGCATATGTAGCAGGCTCCGCGCTCCATTTGAAGAGTCAAGGAAAGACTCAGCAGGGTTAGAGTTCTGGTCCCTGTCCCAACAGGGATCTTACCCCCAATAAACTGCTTATCTCCGTGGGAATTACTCTATCCACCTTGTCGTACCGGAACCATCACCCAAAGAGAGACACTTTCCATCACGCTAGCTTCACTTGGAAACTCGCCTGGGAAATCCAGCAGAGAATGGGAAAGCTACTCAGAGTCTTATCGTAAATTCACAAGCAGTGTTAGTGACCAAACCAGACACTGACAGATCCCCAGAAGAAAAACAACACCTGGGCAACCCAATTCAAAGCTGCTAGTGTAGGGCTCTGCGTTTTACAGCTAAATAAAAAGCCTTGTTGCTCGACTGGACCCAGCACTAGGGAACAATCCTGCACCCGCAGGGGGTGGGTTAGATGCGACTTGATAGGACTTTCCCGACTTTAACCTCTCTGAATATTAATACATAAAAAGTGGGGGCGGCAGGGGGCATGTGAACCATAGGAATTACAGGAAACAAGTTAATGACCCAACATCAGGGCACCTCATTCCACCAGCAGGCGACACAGACACAGCAGATGAAAAGCAGGTGCTCAGGATTATTAACAAAAACTTTCCATGTCACGCTGGCTTCCCCACTCCCAACCTCCAGCTGAAACCCACTAGCAAACAGCTGGACTGCTCAGCCCCAGATTAGCTGTCCCCTGGCGGTACCTCTCCTTCCAGCTCTCCAGTCAGACAGACAGAGGGATCCAATAGGAGTTAGACCCTGCCCCAGCACCCACCGACAGACCATCTGTCCATGGGCAGCTCCTTACCCCTAACCCCAGCACCCACCGACAGACCATCATCCATGGGCAGCTCCTTACCCCAGCACCCCACCCACGGACAAAAAGACCATCCCCAATTCCCACCGACAGACCGACCATCCACGGGCACCCCCCTGCCCCAGCACCCACCCACCCAGACCGTCCACAGGAACCCCCTGCCCAAGCACGCACCCACCCACCCACCGACCATCCCCGCCCCAGACAGACCGACTGTCCACGGGCCCCCCCCGCCCCAGACCCCTGGCGGGAGTTCCCCTGCCGACCTGGTGGTGCGTCTCCTTCTCCACGTTCACCCCGTTCACCTCCACCACCCGGTCCCCGGCGCGCAGCGCCGCCGCCTCGGCCGGGGAGCCGGGCTCCACTTTGCGGATGAACTGGCCGCTCTTGCCCTTCTCGCCGTGCAGGTGGAAGCCGTAGCCGGTCTCCCCCTTGATCATGTGGCAGAGCCGGGGCTTCCGCGGGTCCTTGGCCATGGCTGGGGCCCGTCCAGCCGCGCGCAGCGGCAGCTCCCCGGGGGCCCGGGCGCCGAGCCCGGAGCGCCGCAGCCGGAGGCGCAGGGCCGAGGGACCCCGGCGGGATCAACAAGTGGCCGCCGCTCCCCGGCCCCGGGGCGGCTGGCGCGCTCCCTGCCTGCGCCTCTCTCCGCGGCACCTGGCGAGACGGGGCCCCTTACGCGCGGAGAAGCGCAGAGGCAGGACCCAGGCTGCGAGGAGAGGAGGCGGCGGCCGGGCTGCTGCTGCCGAGCGGGGCCATGCTGCGTCCTCCGCCCGCCTCTGGGGTCCCCTGCACCAGCCCCCCTGGTGTCCCCGTGCGCCCCCGCTCGGCCCCTCCGGCTCCGGCGCACCGACTCGGCTGCTGCTCGGCTGCCCGCGGCTCTGACTGCTCCGGCCCCTGGCGCTGTTACTGGGGCTGCAGCGCCTCCTCCCCGCTGCTTACGGCTCCGAGTGACATTGCAGCCGGGGGAAGAGCTTGGAGGCCAGATGTGACCATGGCACCTCCCCCTGATGCAACCCGGAACCTTCCAGAGCTGGCTGGGGTGGGAGTGGGTGTGTGTGGGGGGGGCATTATTATAGACTTCCCCCCCAAAAAATAATCCAGCCCCCACAACCCAGCATAGACCTCAGGACAGCTTTTCCCCTGCCCCATCTGTCTCATGCTCTTTGTGGGCTCTGTGCACATTGGTGCTAGTCCCGTCCCATGGGACATCAGGGAGGGGTGCACCTGGGTCATGTCAAATAGGGGTGCAGGGAGGTCTGGCTGGGTCACCCTCATTCCCAAACCTAGTGAGTTCTTTGCTGATCATGCCAGGGGCCCAGCTAATCACTGAGGCTTGGTGAAAACCACTTTGTGAAGGGCATGATTAAAACTAGTCTGTATTTCATTCCAGCCCTTTGCCAGGTGTCAACGTGCCACCCAGAACCAGTTCAACTTATCCAAGAGGGAAGCCAGCTGGTTTCAATGCGATTGCAGACCCCAGGGAGGAAATCAGACATAAGGGCAAGAACATCCAGTGAGCGAGCTGTACAAAGAATGGGAGGATAGGGGTAGCCGAGGCCAGAGAACATGAGTCCCAAAACTGGTGGTGAATAAGTAACTAAAATAATCGATTTGTAGGGTGATTTCCCATTGGACTTTAGTGGGAGTTGTTGGATCAGGCCTTAAAAACAGCCAACATGGGACTCTGCCTGGTCTTTGCCGGGAGAGAGCACCCCAGCCCATTCCAAGCAAAGGCTGGTGTTTGACCCCCATGAGATGCAACAGCACCTTATCTCCCAATGGCTGGTCTCTGCACTCAACCTCACACATGGAAAGGGCCCAGGGGCTGTAGGCTGGCCAGATAGCAAGTGTGAAAAATCGGGACGGGGGTGGGGGGTAATAGGAGCCTTATAAGAAACAGCCCCAAATATCAGGACTGTCCCTATAAAATCAGGACATTTGGTCACCCTAAGGGGCTGTAGCTTACTTAAAGGTTCCTGCGGGGCTGGGAGGCTGGCATGGTTCTGTTTCGTGAGATGGTGCCGAACAAGCCCACGGCTTGAAAGCAGGTGCAGCTGACGTTTCCAGCATCTCTTTCCCAGGGCCTATTTATTTGTCTATCATTGAGATAGGACAGATTTCTCCATAGGCATTCAGACCCAGTTCCTCAAAGGTATTTAGGCTCCTAACTTCCATTGATTTTAGTGCAAGTAACAGCCCTAATACCTTTGAGGAACTGGGACAGATACTACAGTGATGAGGGCCTTGCAGTAGAAAGATAGATAAAGAGATTCCTCACATCTATGCAAGTGGCTATCTAGGAATAGATTACATGATTATTCTAGATCAAGACTGCCAGTCCAGATCGCATATCTAACCTAAGATCTTGCTGTAACTGTAAGAGGAAATAATGTGGCAATGAATAGTGTTCTGATCAAGTCTATGGTAGGCACATAATTTCCTTAAAGTGAGGTTCCCTGATGCCATCAGCCTGAAAGGAAACAAGTGCATCTGATTTCAGTTCCCAAGCTCAGGGATCAGCCCCTCATCGCTCGATGTGTGGTGTCTTTGTGGTGAGCATTTTAACCCGTGAAGTGCATCAGACCTCTGGCAATATGCCAGCTGTCATCAGACCTTGCTGCTCTGTAGTTAGCCGCCGCTCTGCAGAAGAATCTCTCTCTGCCTGTTTGCACAAAGCCGTTGAATGATGCGAAAGCAGGCCCGAGAGAGTCTGGAAACTTTGGGATTACTGTGTTACCTGAGGACTTCCCTGAGCCTCTCTCTCTGGAGTGATGACGTGCTGTCATCGAACCACCCGACCAATACCTGAGCCACAGATTCTGAAAAACAGCTGCTGGTACGTAACCTTAACAGCTATATAGGGGCCCTATCCTGCAAACCCTGCTCATGTGAGCCATCCCTGCTCACTACTCACACAAGTAGGGAATACACCCGTGAGTACACTTGGAGGACCCACCCCTGTTTCTGTGCCACTCCCTTTCTGTAGTGTTTCTAGATCAGAGATGACATTACCCATAATGGGAGGCATCTTCTTGCAGATCTCATTTTACTGGCTGGCCCTGGTACAGGCTGGGTGCAGGTAGCACAGGGAGGAAGAATTTCCTGTGAATTGAGGACTTGGGTAAGGGCCCAGTTCAGCCAACTATTTATTCAGGTACCTAACTGTAAGCATATGCATAGTTCCACTGACTTCATATGCTTGAAGTTAAGCATCTGCTGAAATACCTTGCTAGATTGGGGCCTATCACTCCCTCCTTCTTGCATTTAGGAGTGGCCCAAGTGCTCACCCGTTCCCTGAGTGCCCCTTTTCTTCTGCCCTGTTAAACTCTAATCTGCAGGGGAGGCGTCTTCAGCCCCCAAGTAACATCTGTTTGGAATACAGGTGTATTGAGTTTTGGTGCACCCTGCGCTGTGATTGGTGGGAAAGGTTCATGTTTCTATAATGGAGCTGGAAAAAGCCTGAAATCATTCCTGCATCAATGACCATCTTAACACTATAGAGAAAGAAATGCCTTCAGGCTCAAGAAGATCTTGCAATGTGCTTAGGGGTAGTAGCTGGATTTCAATCCCATTTTACGTTCCCCCCTACCCCCATGTCCACGCAAAAAAAACAACCCACGTGAACATGGAATTGCTGCCTTCAGTGAACTGAATATAACAGAGCCACAATTAGAACTCACTAGCCATTGAACAGCTGCAGTTTTGCATTTTAACTTCTAAGTTCTTTGATTGGGGTAAATATTTAAGTCTCGTTTGAGGGGGAGGGAAGGGGGGAAGTTTACAGTAGATTTATGCTTTTTGGCTTAGCAGAATTTGAAGCTACTTTTATTTGACATCTGCTTCAAAGCAAATAGGTTTATTTAGAATTCATTTATTACAATTCATTAAGCACTTACATAGACTTTTACCCGTGTGCTAAACTCTGTTTGCATTGGGTTTTAGACTATTGCATAATTAATGCAATGTACATCCAGGATAAAAAGCCTGACACTTGAAGATATTCGAATTGCTGGACAGGCTTCCTAGGATATAATGGTCAGGGCTTCCTACAGAATATACAGCATAGCCCACCTTAAACCACTGCTCCAGGGACCAGCAAAAATCAGTGGCTTAATTGTTTTCTAAAAAAGGTAGGGTAGGAATATGTATTTGAGAGTAGTTAAGGATGGTCTCTGAAAACAGAAGGTTGCCTGAAAAAAGTTGATAATCCATTCACTGTCCTTTGCCTTCTTTTTCTACTTACACTGGTAGAAATAAAAGTTCGTGCACAACCGCCTTGTGTCCATCTTCTCCCAAAGAGATCCAACGGGAATCACGAGGCCTAAGATCTAGCTCTCCCTAGATTTGCTCTGATCTTGGGCAAAGGACTGAATCTCTGCGTGTCCTCCTCTTTCAACAGAGAATGCAAAGCAGAGGAAGCAGCTAAGGTTTACTATCTATGGATGAGGAGTATGCTATAAATGCTAAGCAGCATTATTTTTCTGTGTGGGGGTAGGAAATACAGACAAAGGCAGGAAGGGCGGATGTTCACAGAAATCAAAGGTCCAAAGTGCCAATATGCCCCTCAATTCAATTCCTTCCCAACCCCAAAGCTGGACATCACCTACACCCCTGTGTTGTCAACATAACTCACCCTTGTTACACACCAAACTCCATCTCAGCAGTGGTTGAACGAGGATTCCCGAGGACAGGGGCCTGGTCTTCCCCGTGCACATGGCACTTTGCTCAATTGCTCAGACTCATGCTAGTACAAGGGCTCAGCTCCTCTGTTGCTGCCTCTTTCCTGGGGCTGTGAGCTGCCTGTTTATTCCTTGCCCTCCATTGTAAATTTTGCTCTGGCCAATGGTTGTCCGTTGTAAGTTTCCCAGCTAGTTCCATGTTTTCCTGTCCTGTTTTCAGGTGGTGATGTACAATGCGCTGGAGTCACGGTTGATGTCTGATGGAAACATCAGGAGGTGTTTGGGTACCCCTGGCTCTTGTGAGTGTCCCGGGCCCGGATGGTACACCTCTAGGGCAGTGGGCCAGCCTAGAGGAACCCGTACATGCTGTACTCGGGTTCTAAGGAGGGTCACTGCTTCATGGTCTTGAACACCCTTGTACAGAGTAACACGGATGATTCTCTTGCTGCTGTTCTCTAAGAGTATTAAACCTTTTAACCCCACTCAGCTCAGGTGTCAGTTTTAGGAGGAGCCTGGGAGCAATGTTTAAGCAGGTCTCTCTTTTTACCCCAACTCAGGCTGTGGCTGACGGGATTAAGACAACTTCGAGAATGCAGAAGCCTCAGGGAGGTTTCAGCGCATGGAGAAAGGCCATTGATTTATTTCTGCTGCAGGAGGAACCTGTACACTGAGAAGAGAGCTCATATACTGCACAGTCTTTTCTTCTCGAGCTGGATGGGAGGCAATATTAAGTTGTAAGCCTGTTCCGGGTTAGATTTATAGAGGTAGAATAACCTGTAGAAGAAGGGTTAGGCATTTGCTTTATATATTTTTAAAGTGTGGCATGGATTTAGACA